GGGAGTGTCCTCTCCAGTGGCCCCCCCACCCCCAGCCACAACAGGCAGGAGAGACACTCTCCCCTAGTGGAGCTGAAGAGCCCTACTCCCCCCACCAGTCCCCCTTTTATCAGTTAAACATAATGTTTAACCTATTAACCAATTAAAGGGGATTTTACATCCCTAGTCCAGGCTGTGAATTCTTCAGGACAGTAACTGTTGGGTTTTTTACTGTGTGTAGGTGCAACGTCCAGCACAAGGGGGCCACAATCTCTGTGCCTCTAAATGCTACAGTGATGCAGCTAATACTAGGATGTATGATTCATTTTGTTTGGAACTGGACCCAAACTTATCCAAAGTTCAAGGAAGCTTGGATAAGCAATTGGATTCAGTTCCATGTCTCCTTTTTATTTATAGACAATGGTCAGTCAGCCAGCAATCTGACAAGATACCACCAGGTACAATTGCAATACAACAGGTATTTAGATTTCGGTCTAATGGCTGGGCATGGGACTGCACTGACAGTAACAACTAAAATTAGGTTTGGGACTTTGGTGAGAAACAGCCATAAAAAATATTCTGAATGCCATGCAGTAAAACCTCCCCTTCCGCAGACTGAAATTCATCCCTGCACAGAGGGTTTATGCATCAATTATGCCTCCAAAACAGCCCTTCAAAAAGAATTACAAGTCAATCTGCACAAGATTGAATTTAACCTGGTCCAAGTGTCCAGACAACTTTGTCTTTATATTTCCACTTCCACAATTTTAAAGAAATTGTAGTCTTATCAAAGACAGTAGAATTAAGCATTATAATAGCTCCATTCATGCTTAACATTTTCCAAATGTCTTTATACAACATTGAGTTAAATACTGGTAATGCAATGCTTGCAAATAAATTGAGCAAGCACTAGAACATGAATTTGAGCACTAAATGACCTATTTTATTGAGATCAAACCAACTGGGTGATCCACCAGTATTTAAAACAGATGGTAGACCTTAAATTATTCCTGAAGAGGCTTATTAGATCTTATTTTAATGCTTTTACCTGAAGACGGCTACATCTACACAGCTTACTTCTTCTGTAAAAGCCTATGCAAATGAAGCACATTACCATGTGTGGGGGTTTTGCTCCGCCCCCTCTCTCTTTTTCCCTTTTGTCCCAAGTCCACCTCTCCTTTTTCCGCGGTGGTGCGCTTACAGCAACGGAAGTGCAGGATGGGGAGTCCGGGCCCACCCTCACTCCCGGACCCCAGCCCAGGGCCCTAAGGACAGAGTCGCACGGACCTGTCCCACCAGAGGGGTAAAGACCCTAAACCCACTGGTGCGCCGTCTCCTCGCCCTACCCTGGGCTACTTCCTATGCTTCTCTCCTTTCTCCGTTTGCTTCCCGCCCTTCTCTCTTCCTTCCTCCCCTATCCTCCGCCGCGCCATTTAAAGATCCCGCGGTCGCGTCCGGGGCGCC